GGTTTAGGGGTTTAGGGGTTGTTGGTTAGGGTTTCTGAACAATGGGCTTTGCTTTGACAATGTTCAAGTGCATTAGACTGCATGATCTCAGGCGCAGCGCCCCGTAGCTGAAGGTGTAGCTGCATAACTCTTTAAACAACCCAACAATCCTTAAGATAACCCTTATGACAACCCTCACAGTTCTCCTAAGGGTTGTCCTTATAGCAACCCTTGTAGAAAACCCCTAAAGCAACCTTTCTGGTAGACCGTGCACTTAAAGGACTTAGTAAGTAGGGCTATAACTAAGGTAACTATAGTTATAAAACCAATTAGGGGACTTATAACCTTACTTACTAAGTCCCATGATCCTCCAAGTAGCAACCCTCTTATGGCTGTGAGTTTCAACTTCAATCCGCCCAAGACTCGCTGGCAGTATTCAAAAAATCGAATTTCTATCCCCTATATAGGGTTGAAGTGCCCATAAAGATGACAAATGTTACACCACTATAACAAAGTATTGATAAGCACAGGATGCACATTACATGTGAACGTAACCGTGAGTTCACTGGTACTGAAGCTCGGTTTCCCAGTATCCACTCAATTAACAAGGGCGCCCTTTTGCTCACTACCCAGCTTTAGAAAGGAAACCAAAAAGACACAAGGTAAAGGGGTACTACCGGGGCACCTAGGAAACCTGCAGGGACGCATGAGAACCAGAGAATCGCAAGCTGCTGCCCACCTTTTGTGGGAAACGTCTGCTACACAGCTCGCAGCTGATCCTGTACCGCACGGCTGTCGACAGCAGAGTCGGCATCACCCCAGGTGACCACAGATCAGTCACCCAGGATTGCACCAAATGCCGAATAAGAAGCTTGGAGCTGCTGCACACCTCGCAGCTGATCCTGCACCGCACTGCTGTCGCCACCATGGTCGGCACTGCCCCCGGTAACGACAGATCCATCGCCCAGGATTGCAGCAGATGCCGAGTAAGAAGCTTGGATCTGCTGCAGGTTCTTCAGCTGATGCTGGACCGCACTGCTGTCGACACTATGCCAGGAGACCACAGATCCATCACCCACGAGCGTGGCGAACGCACAGAACCTGCTGTGTTTGGTGGTTTGAAGGCGCCAAACACAGTAGGTTATGTGCGTGAAGTTGGGCTTGGGTAACATGCACAGTGAGCACGTCTCTACTCCTCAACTTCGCTTCTGTGACAGTTTGTGCTCCGTCAAGCACCTCTCCAGAAGAATGCAGTAGCCGCGCACTGCTCGAGACCGCCAAGGCACTCCGGGCACGGCGCTTCAATGACTCAACGGATGTATCCGCCACCACTTCCATAAATGCACGCTTGCCCCTCAGCAGATTCACTTCCACGGAGATTGCCATGATGCCTCGTAGGGTTTTCCTCTACCTAACACTGCATCAAGCAATATTTGGCCCGCGACCTAACACTGCATCAAGCAATATTTCGGCCGTACTTGGAATAGGGGTTTGGTGCTTATCATAGTCTACCTGTAGTCACCCGGAGGAATGATAATATCACTATTCAAGCCACTATATGGTTTATGCTTCTACCCAGTCCCGAATAGAAAGTGGGTTTAGGGCTTATAGGGCTTATGGCTTTGGGTGTAGCTACATAAAGAATTACAGGGAAACAGGCCTCGTTTAGGGTTTGCGGTTTAGGGTCTGATCACCACCCGAATATAAGCTGTAATGGTAGCAGCTTACGGTGGCCCTAAACCCTAAACCGCACTCAATATTACACTGTTACTTGTTGGGGGGTCAGTATCCCAGCCCGGGGGTGCCTCGGGTTGAGGTTCAGCAATGGGGTCCTGTGTTCGAGAAACCGAACACTCGGGGTTTAGCTGTCTTGTTGCAAATGGTGAAGGGGGATGGGGTTTGAAGTTTAGGGAGTTAGGATTTAGGAATTTAGGATTACGAGGCTGAAGGGCTTGATCCGTGAAGTATTCTGCGGCTCGAACCCTGGATCATAGGGTTGTTAAGTTGTCCATGACTTCAAAACGTGAGACAAAGGAAAACATCAAATTGTCACACCCCTACACCCTCAACCCCTAAACCCCTCAAGCCGTAAACCGTTAAACCTCCGGATCCATGGATCCATTGAACTCCCTACCCCGAACTCTAAACCCATGACCGCCAGGGAACGCGAGATGGCCAGCGACGATGAAGCCGAGGAACCACCTTAGGCGTCATAGAAACAATAGATACAGATAGGCAGATAGGTAGATGATGGAAGTAGAAACAAATAAAAACAAGCAGATAGACAGATAGATAAATGGATAGATAGAAAGATGGGTACATAGATAGATAGGTAGATAGATAGATAGATAGATAGATAGATGGGTACATAGACAGATAGATGGATAGATAGACAGGTAGATACATAGATAGGTAGCTGGATAGATAGATAGATAGATAGATAGATAGGTAGATAGATAGATAGATAGACGAATAGATACATAGATCGACAGATGCATAGATACATAGATAGGACAGATAGATAGATAGACAGATAGATAGACAGATAGCTAGCTAGATAGATAGATAGATACATAGATAGATAGAAAGATAGATACATAGATACATATATATACATAGAAAGGTAGATAGATAGATATATATAGATAGATAGA